ATGTTGTTATTTCATTAACATGAGTGTCTCAAATACAGTACGCAAGCCTGGCCTCATAAGAGCTCAGTTGGTGTAGATCAACGGAATCGTGATCTGGGCGAAGTGTGGGGTCTTTAGGTTCGAAACAACCCACTGCTGATAATGCGTTTTTCTAAATCTAATCGGGGAACAATCTCACAAATCTTCCTGTTAGCTTTATCACGATAAAGGAAATAATATTATTTTGTAGGTAACACATTAGTTTCTTAAATATTATTTTCATCAGCTAAGATAATGTAAAAGTTAATCTTTCACCTTCCCATTTAAGCGTAACCTGGGAGTTGGTGTAAGGCGTACCGTAACTATGATGATACATTTCAAGTTACTTGCATGTTCAAACAAAATAGTTTGTAAATGGGCGTGATCTCCCTCTTCCCCTTTGTACTACCGAACTTTCTGCAGTATCAAATGCTTTCACACCCAAATTCTATATTTCAATGTGTTTATTTAAATATTGCGATTGGACCCAAAATATTCAATATTATTATATATTATTAAAGGGTTATCAGTTAAAAACATCTGACAAAGAATGCTTGGACCCGAAATATTTTGCATGCACATCAAATGCCATTAACAACCAGACACGAGAAATGTTGGTGATAAATTCGTGTGCAATTTCACTTTCCCCATAGCTGTAACGTGTCTAACGTGAAATCGTTCTCGCTGGACTCTCTCACACACCACACGTAGCCTAAGCATTCATATTTATTCCTTTGTGGTTCTCAGTAGGCCTATATGCTCTCGTTAAACAACACTTCATTGCACCTGATGAAGCCAGCATAGGCTGCAGGCGAAAGTTTGTGTAATGCATAATTGAAGTTAATCTATAAATTGCTACCAGTGATATTATAAATATTATTATGAATTATTATTATTATTATTATTATTATTATTATTATTATTATTATCATTATCATTATTATCATTATCATTATTATTATTATTATTATTATTATTATTATTATTATTATTATTATTAAAATCAGTTTAATATATGTTTCGTGTACCGTATCCTGTGTACATCATAAGGATAACAGTTTTCAATGTTTCAACTAATTTGTTAATCCAGGTAAAACACGAAATAAATATTATTAAATAAAATGGCTTATACTTTATTCATCTTTCATCGCTTATCTTATGGTAAATTTTTAACACTTCTGTTGAAGCTTTAATATTAACAGATAATTGCATAAACCCCACAGTAGTAAAATAATATTTATACTAGACTTGTGCATATCTGTGCGTTTGGGAATAAAATATTCTTAGATCCATTTTAAAGATATGAGAGAAAATGCCCGGGAGTTAAATCTAAGCTCTCTTATTACGCTCTGAGTATTAATCAGCACCCATGAGCACATTGCTTCAGGTACTATTGCCTTTTTCCTCCAAGCTGCTGCTCAACTTCCAGGTGAGAAAAAATATTCAACTTTAATAATTTCCCGCCTCAAACCCCATCTCCACCGTTAAAATCCGTGTTTGGTCATACAGACCTTGGGCTCCCAAAAAGAACTTGGTGACTTGATGATAGGCCTACCTGTGTATGTACCCGTCTCTTATACACATCTAGATGTGTATAAGAGACAGCTCAAATACAGTACGCAAGCCTATAAAATAAAATCATAAACTGTAACGGTGTTTTCTAAGCCGGATGCTCGACAGACGTGACTATATCACGTCACGTATTTTTGACATGTATTAGGGAGAAGATTCATACCTTGTAATCGCTTCAGGGACTCTTACGAGCAGCCTCATTGGTGATACGTTCCCTATAGGAAATATCCAGGATGCTCCAAGCGTCCCATCTAGTTTTGAAAGAAAATTAGCGTTACTCCATCAAACGCAGTTGTACTGTATTGTCAATCAACTAATCAATCAATCTATCAATCAATCGTCTAATTATAAGACTCACGTGTATATATCTATAAATTCTAGCTTGATTTACAGGATATATGATATAAGATCAATGAATTATCAATGGTAACATTTTGCTCACATGAAATATTATGGTTTCAACGTTTTCAATAAACGTGTTGAAATAAATTCGCCGTTTGCAAAAGAAACATCACTTGAGAATATGAACTGACAGTTCATGAAAAGTCAGTAATTTTTCACCAAAGTTTATTCCTGCTTTAAAGACAAAAGAAAATTATCATAGTAATGTTTTCAATAAATATTAAACAATATTAGATCTTGTTTAAGAAGCGGTTTAGCATAGCAGGAACGCCTTGCGCCTTGGGTAAGGCACTTTATTTACTTTGTGTCTTTCCGCACGGAAGTAAAAATGGGCACTTGGTGAGGTTGCGTGCTACCGCACCAATTAGGCAGCAACACTGAAGCATGTGGACACAATGACCTAAAGGATAGGATAAATACCCAAATATCAAATAATACAATGCGATGTTTGCCCTACATGACGTGTTATAGTACTGAATGCTCAGTAGCCTACGTTCTCAAATGCTTGCAAAAAAATCTCGAACCCAAGACATAGATATATAACAAAATATTTGATAATTAATCGAACCTAAATACTAGGCCTATAAAAACACAAAAAGGCACAGCTTTGAATTCATATTATGCAAGAAATAGTTGTTTCTAAGCATTGTTTAACATTTCCAAAGCAATCCGCTTGGCGTCTACAATTACCAAAATCCTCAAAAAACATCCATTCTCATTTAAATGTTTGACTGTCAATCACGCCTTATCATTTCCAAATTATTGATCACCTTCACGTTTACACATTGCAACACATCAATGTGATACATATCTGACGATAGTTGGATGTCTGTAGTACCGAGCTCTGAAGTATTTACCTCCCGATGCTACTACCATTAAAACGAATCCAAGTCCACACAATGCGTCCCCTTTTATTGAATATTGCTGTCATATTATTATTTGGGCTTGAGCTCCCCTCTCTCACTTGGTTGTACTTGATAAAGTTTAGAAACGCCTCCGTAATCTGGTTGTTAAAAACCTGGACTGTTCTCTTCATCCATTTTCTCATCAAAGGACCGTCATCAACCTTAGTCATATTGTCCTTTTTTTTAAATTTGTTTGCAAGTGTTCATTCAGCCTGACTAACTTGATTCTCCCTTTTTAGGAGTGTGCGCAGGAAACCCGGTAACCATCGAGACTCACAAATCCAACATTGCTAATTGTTTTCCTCAAGATTATTACCTCCCTTTATCTTAAGAGGAATGTTGAATTATTTTCTTATACTCCAGTGAGTGCTTCACTTCTAGCCCATTATAGTGGCTCTTAGCCTTGTTTTGAGGCGATTTCCAGTAAAGCTTTCGTTCATATTTTTAATTTTATGTGCCAAATGTGTGTGTTATGTGCCCATATATGGGCATGATGATTTGTTATGTCACATACAAATTTATAGTGTGGACACATCTTTAAAAAGAAAGATAGTTTCTAGTACAATATTAGCGTGTCTAGAAAAACTGAAACATCATCAACACCCTCTTTACGGATTACTGCCATCTGTTGTTGTCAAAATTTATTTAATGTATTATTAAGTCTCCGACTTCAAGTCGTATTTGCATGATAGGTTTATGTGCCGAGGGGTTGCTGTATCCAGATATTGTTAAGGGGAAGAACATGAATTTTGCAATGCAAAAATGCAAAACATTGTTTTAATCCGGGCTAACATTGCGTCGTAAGACCCATTGCAAAACGAATCTATCTTCGCATTCAGTGAGTGTTTGATTATACGCCGTCTGCTGATTAATGGTAGCAGACTAAGCGGATCGTTATTGCGCGCGCTTTGTCACGTTGCTTTCTCCATATCACGTGGGTGACTATCGTATGGTAGTGCGTGCTAGTCCTTATTTTACTGTATTCTCATTATGTGATTTTTCTTTTTGGCGAGTTGTAAATGCCACGTACAAATGTATTTACACATTTATGTATGTATGTATGGAATAAAGATGAAGATAAAAACTGATATAACATTTATTTATAGACGACCCTTATTTCAAAGTATTCAGTGAATACGTTGAATAGGCGGTGCCCCTTACTATGACGTTCCAAGTTTCTCTCTCACTCTATCTTTCTCTATATTTTCTATATAATTTATGAATAAAACAATAACTTTAACGTTATTATAGTTTATTTATATATATACATATACATATACATATATATATATATATATATATATATATATATATATATAAACTATAATAACGTAATGGTTAAAACTCTTAACACCACCCTAGTTATTACTGACGTACAGTATTTTTCATGTTAATTTTTCTTCATAATTCTCTTTATTATAACTTGTTTTTTGTTTATTTTTCGTGAATTTTTTTACTTTATACTTTTTAAATGATTGATATTTTTTTTTCTTTTTAATTCCAACATCCCTTCTCATGATGGCAATGATAAAAACCACTACCTTCTGTTTTACAAACTTACATAGGTCACAGAGTAAGTCTAGTTGTTGTTGCTTTTGATCGCTTCTTCAGCCTCAGTATTTAAACAATTACAGTAAATGTTGTATAAAAATTAACTATGTAGGCCTACTTAAAATAAAATACAAAAATATTTTAAATCATGTTCATTTTGTGATAATTAGAATATTATTATAATTGTTGGGTGTATTAATTATTGTGTATTTTGGTTTTCCAGTCTATTTGTTCGTACTCTAGTTGTGTATTGATGACTATGACAATTCGCAGTAAAATGTTTGAATGTCGTAAATTTTCACGTGATTGGCAGGGCTGTCTCGAACCTTTTAAGTTAAATTTATAGGAAAAATAACCTGCCGATTTTAATGATTGTTGAATAAGACTCGTAATCGGGTGTGAAAATGTATTGCAACAATTGTTACCTTTTAGTATTTCTACGAATTGATTTACGACAAAATTGATTTTTGGAATGAACCATTTTCAGGGTAGGGTGATAACTGAAGATTGAATTTGCTAACCCAATCATTTCGTTTCGCATTATGTTTGCAGAAGTCAATGAAAGACTATGTGAAAGCAATCTCGTTGTGCAGCTGAGAGAGCAACAGTATACCGACGTCTCTTGCAAACTAAAGACAGTTGGCTTCTGGACACCGAGCACGACACACGCTTAGCTGAAAAACGCGTTCCTATGGTTCCATCTATGCTACCAAGTGCGGAGCGAATGTTCTGAAGCTTTTATGAACTGGATGTAATTTTATGAAAATACCTTATCAAATTCTAAACCGAGCTGCTGTACACAGATCGAGGTGACAATTTGCGAGTGCGATAAAAACTGTTACTTAATTTATAAAGGTAAGTTCTTTATCTGGAAAAAAGTAATAATATTGGAATTATTGTTGTCTTTGCCAATACGCACTACCACAGCCACAGATGCATGGTCATTCTTTTATTTTTTAAAGCCTAATTCATAAATTAACATTTAGATTTTGGTCCACATAATCTTTTAAAACATTGCTATTGCTGAGTAAATACCGTTAATAGCAGTGTTTTCTTTTGAACTCTTATTCAATATTGCGTTTTTAACAGAAAATATATATTTTTTTTTTATCTAAGCTATAAACCATTTTACTTGACATTATTATTAGATTTAGAGGCCTACCATGCCTTCTCATGGGCCCTCTGTATTTTGAAAATTATATCAATATTGTATTTGTTAAATTGTTTGTATATTCTATGTTCGAATTCTTAAAAATAATACAATTGTAACTATTTAAAAATACAACAAATACCCAATTGTCTGTCATTCCAGTAACAGTCTTTCTACTATTAGTACGATTATGTAGAGTTGCGGCCTTTGACTTGGGTGTATTGTATAATATTAACTAGAAATAAATTCGATATGGCGGTGAATTAGGTGATAAACGCTACAAAACCACTTCAGACAGAATCGGAATATAACATCTTGGTTCTTCGGAAGTGCCTGTTTACACATTTAAATTAATAGGAACCAAAGAATGGACCACTGCTGACATTAATGATCCGACAATATGACTGATAGAAGAAAATAATTTCCTTAATTCGGGAACGAACTGCGTCGACCGACCGCCGTACGACCGTCTGGGCCGACACATTCATCTCCGCTATCTGTTGCACTACGCCGTCAGCCTGCTGATTTTCGGTGGCAGTCTAAGAGTTTATTGACTTTCTTATCGAGAGGATGTAGTTTTATAAAATACTTAATCAAATTCTAACTTGAACTGCTGTACACAGATCGAGGTGACAATAGCATAATTCTATACATAATTTTATATAATGCAGTTCAAGTGGCCCATCTATATTTTTTCCAATGTCAATGTCAGTAAGATTATTTATAGCTCCAATCTTTATCCTGCGTGTATTGTATAATATTAGCGCGAAGTAATTCAATACGATGATGAATTAGGTGATAGACACAACCGAACGATTGACTATATAATCTTACAAAAATATTTGAGTTCTTCGGAAGAGTCTGTTGACACATCAGAATAAGGATCCGAAATATGGACCACTGCTCTCATTGAATGATAACAAAAAATAATCGTTTCCTTATTGAATTGTCATTAAAAACGATCCGTCGCGTGTGTTGCATTGTGTTAATAATAATAATAATAATAATAATAATAATTATAATAATAATAATAATAATAATAATAATAATACTGTATTATAAAAACACTGATTTTAACAAAAATGGTAATGAAGACAGAAACAAAATCATGATCATATAGCCAAGTAAAGTAACAAACAAGGTTAAAATGAAACGGATTTCTTAAATTTGTTAAGATCTAGTGAGAAGTACTGTGTTACTCCGAATGTCATGGATCTACAAACGCCTGTTTTGTTTTTAAGAAGATTGAATGTGTTAGATTGTATCGAAAGTAGTTTCATAATGAAGTCATCGCAGAGGAAGCAATAATTCATGTCTTTATTTTATTGATCTTTTATCATGTTTTTGTTGGGTAGATTGGTCGGTCATCATTTTGGCATTAATGAAACGCGAGTTGAATACGTACGTGATATATCATGATATATCTGCAAAAAGCACAGATCAATTAAGAATTCAATACAATTAAAGGCAGTGGACTTCCCGTAAACTGAAAGTCTATGTAGTATTGTAAAAATGTTAATGCCTGTTAAAAATGTAAACATCCTGAACGCTGTCTATTTGATTTGCTGTGAAACAGCGGGTACTCAAAGTCTTTCATAGTGCGTTCTAAACGCGCGCGTACGCTCATTTGCTGACCACTTGAAACATTCAAGATGTAAATCGGAATATTGCAAACAGGCGCGGATATTATATTACTAAGAGCATGATATAATGGAAGGATTTTGATGACAGGCTATTAGGTAGTATATCATGAGCCCTCGACTACTTTGATCGTAATATGCGTTATGCCTAAGTGAATAACAAATGTTGCGAGTGAACTTATTATTAATCATCTTGATTCGTTTAAGAATGAAAAGAGTTCTTAAAGTAAAATGGATAAATTCCGGTACAAAAGAAACACGTTTGTACCAACATCACGTCGTTGTCAATACATTGTGGTTGTTATAAAGCCTGATTTCTTGTCGAATTGACCAGGACAATCAAAGTCTTCACAATAAAATACATGGAGATCTAATGCTGTAGCGCATTAAAATGGCTCAAAAAGAATTAAGTTTCACAAAATGGAATTAACGCATTCGTGGATGGAAAATGATCGTACTAACGCATTTATATTGACCATGACGCAATTAAAATCAACCAAACGAGCATTTAAGTAGGTTGGCCAGCATCTTGACTAGTTTGTGCACGCTCCTTTAATATGACTGTAACGTTGTTTAGTTCTTGTATATATTCAAAGTTTCTAAATTCAATTCTAGTTGTGTCTAAATATATGCGTTTAATGAATCCACTTACAATGCTACAATAATTAATACTATAGAGCATGATGACGAATTTACGATGATGTGTGTCGTTAATACAACATGTGCGAACGGCTTGGCATAATGATTACGATGATTCCTATGAGTATTATAAGAATAATGAAATGATAACTAATTCTACTTTTTAAATTAGTTTATTGATAATATATTCAAAACGATTCCTAGAGACAATTGCTAGATAATTTAATAATGTGAACCATTCATTAAACTTAGCTAATAAGATAATTTATATCTAATTAGAAAAGAAGTGGTTAATATAAATATTCCCGATTCCCGATCTCCATATTTTTTACAGCATGTATGTCGCTGAGGAAGAGTACAGGCGTGCTCGAAATATTCGAAATAAAAAATTATCTTATGTCTATTATGTCAACGTATACGACTCTACATTGTGCATTCGTACTCATTTTATAATATCAAGACATACGTGGAACCTACAAACATTATATATATATATATATATATATATATATTTATGTATATATATGTACTGTATGTATATATAATATATATATATTATATATATAAATATATATATATATATATTAGGCCTATATAAGAGTATATATACACATCTTTATGCAAACTGTATATAATATGAACGCACCGATACATTGGGAAACCCAACGGTGTAAACCATTCGTAGCTATTATAGGTGCAAATTTAGATTTGAATCCGAGTGGTTACAATACATTTCATCAAATTGTTTATTATATGTATTTTTTTTATCATGTTAGTATACTGGTATAGAAAAATCATCGGTAACTAACAAGGTGTCATGAATGTGCAGAATCATGCATGACAGCAATAGACCGCAGACCCGTATCAGGATCATTCAATGGGAGGGGGTTGTTATGAAAGTCAGAGGTTCAGGAGAGCCAAGACGCTCTGCTGTGGTCCAGAGAAATAGATCTTGCAGGTCAGGAGTTGAATCTTGTTGCATACGATCATCACTTGATGAAGCAAACTAGCATATACAGTACAATGTTGGGTTTTATTTTAAAGTTTATGAAGGGAAGGGGCACATTGGTTTATCAGAGTGAGTTTGACCGAAGCCCTCTTGGTTAAGTCTCTACCAAATACTAAACAAGCCTGGTACATCAAAGATGTACTATCAGTCAGAAAGACAAAATCAAATTTTGAATAGCTCATTTGAAAGATCAAACAAGTTATTAGCTTCTCACAAGTAAAAAAAAAAAGTAGTTTTTACCGATTTACAAACATTTTCCTACAAAAGTCCTTAAATTGATTATCAAATTATTTAAGAATCTAGGCTTATGCAAAAGAATACAGGAAAGATATTATTTAACTGTCCAAAAATTGACGAGGGAATTGTTTATAATTCACATTTTATTTTATTTGAAGGTAATAACTTGCTTAAATATAAAATTAATGAATTGCTTAAATATACAAATATCGAATTCCTCATGACTGATAGTACATCTTTAAGCGCTCTAATATACCTAATCAACTAGAAAATATATGTTCTGGATACATAAGTTTTTTAAAATTGTTTATCCTCAACAAAGAATGAAATAAGTTTTCCTCCTCTTAATTTCTACTGAACTTTCATCATACTAAGTTTTCATTTTCTTGTTTGTCTCAACCATCCTTCCTTTCATTAAATTCGGTTATGATTGTGATTGATGTACGGTACTCGCTCATATTCTTGCTATACTTTACTCAAGCTAATCTGTTGATGATCGGTAGCGTAGAAAGCCTCACAGTTTAGTAAAAAGTTTGACTATTAGGCCTATGCATTTTTCTCAAAACACTTTTTAGAATGTCAACAAAATAGAATACATTTATCAATGTCAAATAACTTAAATATGTAAATTTAATGCTCCCTGTCCAGATTATCAAATTTTATTTGATAATAAACTGATCTATGCCCTTATATAGCCATGATGTGTCCATTCATTCATTCATTCATTCTGGTTTGTTATTAAAACAACAAATTTGACATTGCAGTATTGAACTGAATTGCGTCAATCTAACGAAGATAAGCTAAAACAAACAACATTCACAAAACAAAGCACAACACAGTATATATAAATGCAAAAGGTATTAAATATAAAAATTTCAAAGATAAAGATTACAAAAATTTCAAAAGACAACACGCACCTGTGTAATGATAAATTCAAGTCAAATTAACAAAATTACGATAAAATTTACTCCTAAAAATAGATCATTAAGAATAAACATTAAAATTACTAAGCCTATTACAATTTACAAAATTGAAATAAAATTGAATCAATACAAAAATAGATGATGGAAATATCAATTTAATTCAATAAAAATATGTAAAAGACAATTGAGTGAAGTTATAAATAATCTTAAGTGTAAAAATATGTAATATTGCAGCTTTAGTATAAACAGTTGTCAAC